AAAAAAAAAAACCAGATATGACCAAACCCCAAACCCATCTCTGTTCAAGAACTTGCAAACAGCTTCTGTCTTTCTGATACTTATCCACTTTCCCTTTTGTTAATATCTTTGTCTGAAAAATCCATGGATCTAAAGATGAACTCATCAACTGCTGAACAAGATCTTGCTGAAGGACAAGTCGAAGCCATAGATGATCTTCTCGAAGAGTGTTGGTTCTTTGATAACATGCTCAACAGAAGATCTAGGGTCCTTAGGTATTGTCACTCTGATCCTTTCCCTTCTTCTTCTTCTTCCTCTTCTTCCGCTTCTTCGAAACCGAAACCTATCCAGAAGACGATAAATTCAGCGTCAGACAAGTGTCTAGAAGCTTCTACAGGTCGTGTCCTGATCCGGGCACCGTCTCTTCCTCTGGATCGGGAAGGAAGAGGCGAGGCGGCGAAGAGGATCGGGAAGCTGACAAGACAGCTGTCAGAGAAGTTTAGGGTTCAAGATCCGAGACCCGGGTCTAGTTACTTGCTGAAGAAGCAACCGTCGGTTCAAGACAAGGGGAGGGAAGGTTCTAGAAGGAACAGAGACAGCAGAAGTGTCTGGTCGTCTTCTCAGACAGGTGGGAGTTTGCAGAGAACTCAGACGTTGCCGAGTTACATAGGAAGAGACGAAGCGGAGGAGGAGTTTCAAGATCAAGAAAGCGACGCAAGATTGGGATTCTTGATCCGTGAGGCTCTGGCGAGTTCCGCCGAGTTGACACCTCCGAGTCAAAACCTCTCAAAGGTAATAAAAAACATTAAAAAAAACTCTTTTTTTTTTTCTGACATTTCAAATCGTGAAAATCCGTTGTATATTTCACACTATATGTATATGTTGAGTCCATTATATTGAATACCCGGTTGCAGGTTTCGGCCATTCCAAGGCACAGACCGATCGGAAGAATGCATTCAAGAACCCATCACGGGAAGAGACCAGAGTTATTACAAGACATTACGTAAAACAGTAAGCAACCTCGAAACAGAAGAGATCCAGAGATTGGGGATGGGATCGAACAGGACAGACTCAGACTCTGAATCGAAACAGAAAGATCAAGAAGAAAGGATGACGACGAAGGGGAAGAGCTCCGCCGGAGGGAGAGGGAGGTGCGCCGCCGCCGCCGCCTCCGGGCCACCGATTCCGGCGAGGGTTCCGAAGGATTCGAGGAGAGACATGAAGGCTCAGATAAAGTTCTGGGCTCGAGCCGTTGCGAGCAATGTCAGGCAAGAGTGCTGAAGGCTTCTCATTAACATGATCGACACCGTACAGTACACATTCTTTGTTCTTTTTTATCTTCTTTAATCTTTTACTGGAATCATGAGGTTCTTCTGTTTATGTGATCATATTGTTCTGATTTTTTTTATTTGTGAGAAGGGTTGATGCTGATGAAGGGGGAATGAAAGGAAAATAATTTAATAAAAATGAAAATGATGATTATATGTTAAAATCCCATCATGGGTTGCCAAGATTAGAAGTAGGGTAGCAATTTTGGTTCTTAACATACTCGAATTGAATGAATCGAATAACATATATAACCGAATCGAATCTCATGTAAAACCCCGAAACTAAACCGTTTAAAAAACCTGAAAAAATCGTTAATTTATTTGAAATCCAAAGTGAAAAGAAACAAAAAATAATCAAACCGAATTTTCTATAAAAAAACAAATATTTATAATTTTTCTATAATTGAAATATTCGAATCTGAATATAATCGAACCGGAATCCGGAATGATATGAATTGAAATAAAATGTTTGAATAATGGTATTTGTAAGGTGTTTTTCTCTCTTTTGGGAATGTTGTATTTTATTAAGCTAACACAGAATATGTTTGCATTTAATCATCATAATAATGGTACAAATCCATATAAACAGAGAGTTATATAAAACCAAACAACTGTTGATACCAAACGAAATAGTGTAATCGATTAGTGACGACCCAAAACATATATATATATATATATATATATATATATATGATAGAGATTAATTTGATAATGAATTCAGAACAGAAATCTTCGAGTAATTGGGCTTGATAGGCCCAATAAAATTGGTCTAAAGAATGCCCAAATAATAATTGGGTCTTAATAAAATTTTTAGATAACGGCGATCAATTTAGTTAATAAACTGCTCAATTTAGTTTTTATATATAATTATGATGTAAAAAATTGAATGATTATAATATTTTAAATGCGAAGTGAATTGGATAAAAAAAATAATCTCAAATTTCTTTCATAAAATTGAATCCGAAACGGATCAAACTAATATTCGATATAAAAAAAAAACTAACGGTTTTTTTTTTCAAATAATCGTAACGAAACAAGAATTAAAAAAAATCAAAATATCATGGGACCTCTCTGTTCCCTGGAAAAAAAAAAGATCTCCGGATCCTCTTCATGAGACGGAGGTTTCGTCTTTGGATGATATTTTGGTCGGAGTAAGTGAAGGACGTTAATGGTGGATTCATAGAATCTTCGTCGGAGAAAATGTTGGTGTTGCAGACCCACCACCGTCTCTTCTCCTTCTCCTCCTCTGTTTTCCCTCTTCCCCACATTCGCCGGAGCCATCTTCTCCCTCTCCGGCGGACTCCGTCTTCTCTCTCCGTCTCATCGCCTTCCGCTCTTTCCCGGCCC